AAAGGGGGAAATAAATTTGCATATTATTGCTAAGAATCTCGAAAATTGACAGCGAACAATTGACTCTATACATACAATGTGTAAAACGTTGTCTTATAGATCTAATAATTTTATAAAAAATTCCAATTTTTAGTTAATGACATACTAGAACAGTGTAGAGTGAGTGTAGACTAAAGGATTGCCTATTTTGTCGTTTATTTCTCTATGTCTATTTTAATGCCTAAGAAATAGTCTGATAGTTGATTTTTTGTCCTCTGTGTCAATTATTGACATGTGTATTTTGTTACTCTAAACGTTATATATCTTTTACAGATACATATGTTATATATTATAATTATTGTAATTATATGTCATATGTAAAATTCTCTAATTAATAAACAATTTCTCAATATCAATAATTTCATGGTGAAACTGGAGGCATATGTCTGGGTGTGTGGTGGCAACGATTTACATTGTTATAACTTCTTTATAAATAACAATTTAAAATGGGCACTATTTACAATAATTTGTTTGAAAAAAAAGATTTAGGCCTACAAGTATGTATCTTCTTCTTCTATACTATAAAGTATAAAGTAAGGCGTATGTATGTATGTATGTGACGAATAGAAATCAAAACCGCTTCACAATAAAGTTGTCCGACTCTATTAAAGCTATAGTATTTATAGATCTAGGCCATGTTTACAATGTTGACAAGAGAAAAGATCGAAAGGATTTAGATCTAGATCTAATTTTAAGAAATACACTTTAGGCAGATAGTTTTTTACTTTGCCACATGAAAATACAAAAGAAGATCCATTGATTCCATTATATAGTAAAATTAACCTTCAATTTTGTGTTTCAAAAGCATTTTTTACATAAATTAGTTCCTTATATCTGTGACTAAAGATTTCCTGACGAACATTCTTTCATTAGAAAATACCATAGACTATATATATACAGGACTGCCAACACTAATGGTAACTAAGCATAAGTTTCGTTCAACACCATAATGTGAGATATGGTACTTCGGTATAAACTTATTTTATGACATTCACGATGTTTGAATGATAATGCCAGTTTGGATAATATATTACTCTTTTCATCACATTTGATAATTTCTTTTTACATTGTATACTATTAATATGAGTTAAATAAGCGATTAATGATAGAGTCAATACAGTTTTGAGAGTGTCATTTATTACTTAGGTAGCCTATAGGCCTATAATGGGTGATAGAAGTTAAGTCTGTGAGTCAGTCTAAAAAACAAAACAATAGTGAGTCCCTGAGCCTACACACTGACATCTTTACCAACTTTTATTTACATCTAGATTCTATATCTATTTTTTTAAAATTTATTTGTAGTTTTTTTTAAAGATAGCATGCAGTATGCATTATATATATATATTAATGGAGAATGAAGCCATTAAAAATTACAAGCAACTGTGTATTTATGACTAATTGAATAATATGCATAAAATTTTCAGCTCTGCAAGTTATTAATTTTTTAAACTAATTAAATCCTAAATAACATCCAATTATTCTAAAAGCCATAAAAAAATTGATTGTTCCAAATTTGTCTTCACCTAATACAATTCTATAATCATTGTTCCTACTTCAATAAAAATTAATTGTACACATAGTAAACATGTAAACATTGACTTAGACTTAGTGACCTATGGCTATAAACTATATGTACATATACGACCATACACACTACTACTTAAGCGTGGTCGAGAGGCTAAGTGCGCTTGAACTTAGCTTGGCTTAGCTACCTAGAAGGGGGCTCAAGGTTCGACACCTAGCGAAAGAGAAATAACTTGAAAGGATCATTAGCTAAGTTAAACATACATCTAAGTCTTAAACTTAGACCCGCAGGCCGCGGGTAATGCCAGGCTAGTAATGTATAAAAACTATAATCTCAATCAATTAATTCATATAGTAGAGTGTGGCGGATGTGCCCTGTCTGTGTGAACTATATAACTGCAGATATAGTTATAGACCCATGAAACTTTTTTATTGTTCATTTATAAATCTGATAGTGTAACTGCTAATTTTCATTAAAAAAACAAACAATTGTTACTATGTGTTTGCGATGTTCGCATGTAAATAAACATCTATACCGTTGAGTTCCGTCTTAAGTTATTACAATACAAACAAAGGCAGAATTTGACATAGGCCTACATTTATTTATGTCCCGGTAAATCGGATAACATAAGCTACTACAAGTTCCGAGCGTTACAACATGCACTCATCTGAGGTTTAAAAAACTGCTTCATGTGTAGTGATGGGGAAACGTTAGTTACAAACTTTAATTAAAAATAAAATAATAATTAAAGGCCGAGTGGTAAAGTGCTCGACTTCCGAACCGGGGGGGGGGGGGGGGGGGGAAAGCATGGTAACGGTTTAAACTTAGAACATCTGTTTAAAGCGAAGCAGGACGTTTTGGCGCATCCGTTTTGGGAGCGATGGTCATTTTTGTGCAGCCGTTTTGGCGCGGAATATTATGGTCACATTAGTTATGTTCGTCGTCTTGTTTCTTTAAACAAGATTGATACATATCTGTGTTTTGTATGGGTGTTTGAATGGGGAAGGGTGTAGCGGTACAGAGGTAGTGCTTATAATTACCGCTTAGGCCTACTGTCTCCTTTTTATATTTACTAAACATAATGGTGTTGTTTTTTTTTGACAAGGGAGGCAACTACTACTATCATTGTTCTATTGCAGTTTTTCCCCTTTGATTGATATCCAAATAAAGTGTCGTCTTTATTACATTTGCTTCATTTTGTTCAAAAACATGCCAAATGTAACAAGTATATGAAACAAAAGTCAATGCCCTATATCTTTCTATTTGGTTACTTTTCAAGATAACTTTTTAAAAAAATCCAGCAAGCGTGAAACTGAGGTTTAAAATGAAATGATATTTATTTTTTAAATATAAAATAATCATTTTAAATTATATGTGCATGATTTAACTTTGCGGTTTACAATACAACTATACACCTATACGATTTCATCTAAATATTTTTGTGCACCTGTATATGTGTATATGTGTATGTGTATATGTGTATGTGTATATGCAACTACATTTAGGAAGACTCAATGGGCACGACATGGCCTTAAAAATGCAGACGTGCTATATGTGTACAATTATCACTTTACACTCTCTCCATTGTCTAGTTTCTGCCATCCATTTTTTATTCACATTTTTTATTCTCTTTCTTAGCACTTCATAGCACTTCTTTCCTTTTCTGTCTTTAGCCTCTTTCTGTCTGTCTCTTCTCTCAATAGATATATAGATATATAGACATGGATATAGATATAGATATACAATAACATTGTAAGAAAATAATTCAATAATAAAGTTACTTTTATGATATGTTTATTAGGTTATATGCAGAAGTTGTGCACACATACAGCAATACTAAGTGATAATAATAATTGCATTATATATTGAAATAAAACATATTTAGATATCTTACACCAAACTACAAATGTAAAATAGATTTAACAACAAATGTACAACAACAAACAAACGAACACAAGCAGAAGTAAACAAAAGACTACTTGTAAAAAAAAAACAAACCCAAAGCTTATCTAAGGTAAAGTAATGCTAATTATAGCCATTTGTGAGGGTTAAGACCCCTTCCTGCTATATAAAACAAAATTAGTTAATTGATACTAATTAATAAAGTAACAGATTATTTTTTTGCATTGATTCGTGTATTGTCATAGACTATGAAAATTTATGCGAAATTTCAACTTGATCTGAGAATGGGAAGTGGGGAAAAAAAACTTGTCAAAAAGTAATAAGAGGATTCAATCCACATATACATCCAGATATCTTATTAAATAGCATTTTCTCCCTTTATTTTGATATCAAACAAAATAATTAATCACCAATAATTGATTTAAAAAATTTTTTTTTTTTATTGATTCATGCTTTGTCATTATCAATGAATAATTGTGCAAAGTTTCAACATTTCAAAATTTGTACCAGACAGACTGATTGAGTTGATATAAGCTTTGTAAGAAAAAAAAAGCTAAGAGAATCTTCAGTATACAAAATAAAATTGTACAAAGCAATAAATAGTTGCAACTACATTATATGTGTGATAAAATATGGTTAGTTGTGCAAAGTTGTATAGTAACATTTTTTTCTAATTTATTTTTAAGAAACCTTTGGACAGAAACATGTCATTCCAAATACACAATGAGTTTTAAATTAGCTTAGACATTAAACACTTGTATGCTTAAGAAGTGGATAGAATTCAACTTAACAACTACAAATCATTTGCGTTTTCACTAAACATTATTGGCTTTAAGCTAATATTTTGTAATCACTGAATACACCTCAAAGATATTGCGCTTCTTCAATTAATTTTCTAGATGCAATAACATGGGCGCCTAAACAAAAAAAAAAAAAGCCAATCAGGTCTGTCCTAGTATAGCATGGCGCAGCACCTTCATGGAAGATCTCAGGGAAGTGGACATCATTTCTGAAGAGGGTGATGACCACTATCTTTGGAGACAGCATTGCGCCCAATGCACTGAACGGCGAGGAATGATTTAACCAAAAGTAAGACTGATTTACCAAACTTTGTTTTACACTTCAAACAGTCAATAGCTTGTGACCTATAATAGTGCACCAAACAATTCTTGTTTATTTAGATCATATTTTGTCAATAGCATTGAATCTGACGATTGTATCCTTTGGTTACACTTAATAGATTACAAGGTTTTTCCTAAAAGTGACCGGAGTTTTTTTCTATTGATTGAGACTTTTCTATAAATGCTAAATCAATTTTTTTCCGGTTTAAAATGAGGCATTGTTTATAACCTTCACGCAGTAGTCTCTGTTTGGTGTAGGCTCAGTTGATTTATCGGGTTGATTCATTAAATAACCTTCACGCAGTAGTCACTGTTTGGTGTAGGCTCAGTTGATTTATCGGGATGATTCATTAAATAACTTTCACGCCGTAGTCACTGGTTGGTGTAGGCTTAGTTGATTTATCGGGTTGATTCATTAAATAACTTTCACGCCGTAGTAGACGGGTGTTGTAGGTTCGTTTAATTCATTTAGACCTTGCTCTCAGTAGTAACTGATTTCTGTAGGTTTATTTGATTTTTAGATTTGATTCATTTAGAACTTAGACGCAGAAGTCAACGGGTTTTGTAGCTTCTGTTAATTCGTAGGTTTGATTACTGCGCTCAGTAGGCACAGGTTGATGCAACCCCACGGTTGATTTACAGGTTTGGCTCTGGATGTTTCCAGATAGACGTTCAGTGTGGAAGATCCTTAAAAATATTTCGTTACCTTCAAAGTCATGTGATATCTTTCTGAGAGTCGTTTTAATAAAGGCCAATCATGGTGATAACATGTGGACTCACTTGAGGTCGGTTCGTACACTATACTTTGTTTAACAGTTATTTCAAATACATACATCTACGTTCATGACAATGTGGTAGATCCAGCTTTTCAAAATTCCACACAACTTCTCTCCAGCTTTTCGAAATTCCACACAACTTCTCTCCAGCTTTTCAAAATTCCAAACAACTTCTCTCCAGCTTTTCAAAATTCCAAACAACTTCTCTCTAGCTTTTCGAAATTCCAAACAACTTCTCTCAAGCTTTTCAAAATTCCAAACAACTTCTCTTCAGCTTTTCAAAATTCCAAACAACTTCTCTCCAGCTTTTCAAAATTCCAAACAACTTCTCTCCAGCTTTTCAAAATTCCACACAACTTCTCTTCAGCTTCTCAAAACACTTTATCTCCAGCTTCTCAAAGTCTCAACAAAACTCTTCTATCCATCAAATTCTCTTAGTTCAATTCCATTTCCGTCTGGCGGCTGGTCATCATTCTCTTCTTCATCTCTATTGTTTTCATCATCTCTATTGTTTTCTTCTTCTTGTGAAAGAGCACGGGCTAGGTCTGGCTGTACAGGAATATCTGACGCCACTGCAAAATGAAAAAAAAAAGATATAGATGATGAAACAAGCAAAATTAAATAGAAAAAATCCTTAAAAAAAAAACAAAGCTTATCTAGTGGAAAAAGCTCCGCACTTACAACTATATCTCTAAAAAATGTAAAAGTTTTTCCCCTCATTTGGAACCAACCAAAATAATTATTTACCAATTCTGTGGCATTTTACGTCTCGAGAGACGATCTTTTCCCTTTGCAACTTCTTGTGTGACTAAAGAGGCCAATCCTTGATACACAGCTGCGATCGCAGGCTGGGCATATATAAATCACCAGGCGCCGTTGCATTTTCACCCTTCTTTCTGCTTCAGTTGTGTATGACATCTGCAATCTTTGACCCTTCCTTTATGCTCTCTCTCCATGAGGATCTGTCCAGTGCCACCTCTTCCCAGTTGCCAGTGTCGATTTTGAAGAGCTTCATGTCGCGTTTGCATACATCCATAACGTAAAAGTGGGCTACCAGTGGCTCTGCTGCCTTCTATTAGATCGCCATACAGGATGTCCTGTGGAAGTCGACCTACTGGCATTCTACGAACGTGGCCAAGCCAGCCAAGGCGTCTGCTGCTGATAACAGAGCGGATGTCCTGGCACCCTGCTCTTTGTAGCACTTCCTCATTGGCTATCTTATCTTGCCACCTTATTTTAAAGATCCGCATTAGGCATCGGAGGTGGAAAACATTCAGCTTTTTTTCCTGCCATGAGTAGGTTGACCATGTTTCACTTCCGTACAGCATGTTGCTCAACACACAGGTCCGGTAGACTAGGGCTTTAGTACTGCTAGTCAGCAATATGTTGTCCCAGACTCTTTTCTGCAGCCGTGACATGGTGGCCATTGCCTTGGCTATCCTGTTGTTTATGTCTTTATCCAGTAGAGTGTTGTTGGATATGATGGAGCCAAGGTAACAAAAGTGATCAACAATTTCTAGTGGTTGGCCATTAATGCTTACTTGAGGTGCAGTGTTTGTGTTTTGGACAAGTATCTTAGTCTTGCTTTGACTGATATTTAAGCCGAACTTCTGGCAAGCAGCAGACAATTTGTCAACCAGGCACTGTGGCTGAATATCAGAATCAGCCACAATAGCTGCATCATCAGCATACAGGAGTTCCCTGACGAGTAGCTTCCTAACCTTGGTTTTTGCCCGCAGCCTTGATACATTAAATAGTTCTCCAGAGGATCTTGTATGGAGAAAAACACCTTCGTTTATGTCGTTGTACGCATAATGACTTTAATGCCCGTGTTGGTGATGGAAATGATGCATGGCCACAATGCTTGGGACCTCATGGTATTGGCAAAATCAATGACAATGGCCAAAGTTCTGTAGCTCTCATGAACTGTGTGTAACTAATACATTCTTCTCTGGCAAGAAACGCCATAAAGTCTCCTGGCAGCACCCACGCTCAAAAAGGTGGCACCAGCTTGACCTCTGCATCACCCGAAGGATGGACCTGAAAAATGTCATCCACGCCCGTTCATACCATAGTGCGGACTGCAACTCAGACCATTCACTAGTGCTAAGCAAAATCAAACTACTTCTCAAGAAGGCGTATACTTCCACTCAACCCAGAACTAGGCGAATTAACGTCAACCATGTAGGTGACCCAGAGAAGTGTGCACTCTTTGGCAAGCTCCTGAACAGTTCAATCCCCTCGTTAAGTGATGAAGAAGACATCTCTATCAGTTGGGAAAAATTAAGAGATGTAATCTACAGTTCGGCAATCACTGCCTTTGGGCCTCAAAAACACAAAAAAAATGTAGACTGGTTTGAGGCAAATCTAGCACATATGGAACCTTGCATCGAGAAAAAGCGATCTGCACACCTCGCTCACAAGACAAAGCCAAGTCCAAGATCTTTGGAGGCCTTCAAAAGTGCTAATAAAGAGGCGAAACAAATGGCTAGAAAATGTGCTAATAACTTTTGGAGGGATACCTGCAACAGAATCCAAGACAGTCTCCACTCAGGAAATAGCAAAGCTCTATTTGATGGCATTAAAGCGGCCCTGGGTCCAACAGTGTCTAAGCCTGCCCCCCCTTCTATCCAAATCAGGAGAAAAAATTACAGATCAAACCAAGCAGCTAGAACGTTGGACAGAACACTACCTCGAAGTCTATGCCACACAGAATACAGTAGACGATGTCGCCCTGGCTTCTCCACCAGATCTTCCAGTACTGGAATGCCTAGATGATCTTCCGAACCTCAGTGACCTTTAAAAAGCAATTAACTGCATAAAAAATAGAAAATCTCCTGGGATTGATGGTATCCCAGTGGAAGTAGTGAAAGTCAACGAATCACTCCTGCTCCCTGAACTCTATATTCTCCTCTGCCGCTGTTGGGAAACAGGTCATGTCCCACAGGACATGCGTGGCGCAACTATTGTCACAATATACAAGAACAAAGGGGATCGGAGTGACTGCAACAATTACAGGGGTATCTCTCTCCTCAGTATAGTGGGCAAGATCTTTGCTAGAGTGGCACTATCCAGGCTGCAAGTGATAGCTTCTAGAGTCTACCCAGAGTCTCAGTGTGGATTCAGGAGTGGTAGATCCACTATAGACATGATATCTTCTCTACGACTACTGCAGGAGAAATTCAGAGAGAGAGCAGACCCCTTTACATCGTTTTTGTTGATCTGACTAAAGCTTTTGACATGGTCAGCAGAAGTGGCCTTTTCAAACTCCTGAGGAAAATAGGTTGCCCTCCCAAACTACTGCAGTTCATTGAATGTTTTCACGAGGAAACTAAATGCACTGTCAAATTCAATGGAGCCCAATCAGCACCTTTTGAGGTTTGCAGTGGTGTCAAGCAGGGATGTGTGCTCGCACCTACTCTGTTTGGCATATTTTTCTCCTGTCTACTGCATTATGTGTACAACGACATAAACGAAGGTGTGTTTCTCCATACAAGATCCTCTGGAAAATTATTTCTTATTTACCAATAATTAATTGAATAATTGGTTAGTTTTTTAGAAATTAATTCATGTTTTGTTAGGTACAATAAATAATGGTTGAAAGCTTCAACTTGATCCGAGAATATGTGTGGGGAATAATAACGTGTTTAATTATCTATTGGGACAAAACCCTACATATTTAGCCGTATGTGTAAATACTGAAGGATTACATTCCCTTCTTGGTATCAAACAAAATATTAATTAAAAGTATATAATTGACTAATTCGTTATATTTTTTTTTATTAATTCACGTAGAGCGCCAATGAATAATTGTGGAATGTTTGAAGTTTATCAGAGAATGGGTGTGGGAGAATTAACGTGTACAAACTTTTTATAAGACTGAGTAGATATAAGGTTTGTAAAAAGACTTTTTTTTTTTCTAGTTTCAATATTAACATTCTGTTGGGAACCTTTTCGCAGCGTCTCGTGAAGAGTATTGGCTGGGCCCAATTAGAGGTAACTTAAAAAAGCAACATACTGCACGAAACACGACATCCTTGAAGGACCCTATTCGATCAACTACTTTTTCTTTCCCAACAATTCTTATGCGATTATCGATTTAGCTGCATATATTAGGTAATGGTCATTCAAAGGAGGTTCTTAAAAAGTGCGTCTCTGGAAGTGGCACTACTAGTGCGTGCACACACAAATGTTCACGTAATGGTGTGTTGCACTAAAATCTTGCAGAGTTGATGCTTAGACCAAAGATTGACATTTTATGAAATAAAATCTATTCTTTTGTTAAACTGTATTAACTAACTGAGCCATATGCATATCCGCACAAACTACCTATACTATAGAACTGCCAACTCTGTATCGTCGCTTATTTTCTTTCGAGTTTCATACATGATAGCTGTCTCGTGAGAGTTTCATACATGATAGCTGTCTCGTGAGAGTTTCATACATGATAGCTGTCTCGTGAGAGTTTCATACATGATAGCTGTCTCGTGAGAGTTTCATACATGATAGCTGTCTCGTGAGAGTTTCATACATGATAGCTGTCTCGTGAGAGTTTCATACATGATAGCTGTCTCGTGAGAGTTTCATACATGATAGCTGTCTCGTGAGAGTTTCATACATGATAGCTGTCTCGTGAGAGTTTCATACATGATAGCTGTCTCGTGAGAGTTTCATACATGATAGCTGTCTCGTGAGAGTTTCATACATGATAGCTGTCTCGTGAGAGTTTCATACATGATAGCTGTCTCGTGAGAGTTTCATACATGATAGCTGTCTCGTGAGAGTTTCATACATGATAGCTGTCTCGTGAGAGTTTCATACATGATAGCTGTCTCGTGAGAGTTTCATACATGATAGCTGTCTCGTGAGAGTTTCATACATGATAGCTGTCTCGTGAGAGTTTCATACATGATAGCTGTCTCGTGAGAGTCTCATACATGATAGCTGTCTCGTGAGAGTCTCATACATGATAGCTGTCTCGTGAGAGTCTCATACATGATAGCTGTCTCGTGAGAGTCTCAAACAAGGTAGATTTTCTTCTTCGTTCTCATTTGACATCAGTAATCTTCCTAGATCTGAGATAAATCGCGCAGTGATTTCCAGATCA